GCTTATTTACTTACTTGCTGAGTTTCTTCAGCAGCAGCAGTTTCACGCGTGTCACGCGCGCGGGGGCAACCTGGGAGGGCTGCTCGGAAGCAACCGAGCGATGTGTGCTTGTCTCCGGTATGGGCTGCGCCGGCGCTCTTCTGACGCGGCCCAGGAGCGTCGAGGCCAAAGCGCGCTGCAACGGGCAACCCACTTGCCCCCACCACCGGCGATCACACCTCGCGCAGGCAAGAGCTCGCAGAATTCGTTGCGCGCGCAGGGAGCGCTGCCCCGCGAAGCTTCGGACCAGGTGGTGCGCCTGTTGCCCCTAGTGTCCACCGACCACGAATTTTATTTTTTTGTAACACCTTTTTTCCCCTATTTTGCGCAAGGCGCGATAATTACGCCGTCCTTGCTTTCGCCGTAGGAGACCGTGCGCCGCCGGCCTGTTCTCCTTGCACGTCCCAGGCGCTGCAAATCTTGACAGAACGGCTGAGAAGAAAAGAAAAGAAAAAAAAAAAAAAAAAAACGGCCGCCAACTCCTCCGAGGCTCCCCCGCTCGTGTGTGGGGTTTTCTTGGAAGCAACGGGCATGTCTTCCTTGACGTGCGAGTGAAAAGCGACTACCTGCCCGAGTCAGCAGTTTCCTCGATCGTGTTTGCTGTCGCCTTGGACGCGTATGTTCGTGTTATACTATTTTTCCAACCAAAACCACGGTCATAGTGGAAGCATAATGAAACCCAACACGTTCTATTTAGGATAAACCAAAGCGGGCGCGTCTCGTCGTTGTCGGGGTCGAGGTTGGCGGGCGGTTCGGTGCTGAAGCCGCCTCCTTCCTCCGCCACCTCGCGCGGCACCGCGCTGCCAGCCTGCCGCCGCCGCTCCGGGCCGCTGCCAGTGCCGGCTGGGTCCAGCGCTGGTCCGGCTTCCTCGCGGTCGCCGCCATGCGCGCCTATGCGGCCTCCCTCCTGGAGCTGCCGCCTGGGGGTGACCTCTGCCATGCGGGAGAGGCGCCTGACCTGCACGAGGTCCTCGCTGAGATCCGCGGTGGCCCCGCACTGCTCGCAAGCCGCCTGCCGGCGCCTCGAGCCGGCCCGTAGTTGGTAGGCTTCTTGCACTGGGACCGCGGCGACCGTTCGTAAAAAGGCGGGGGGGGGGGGGGGGGAAAAAAACCAAAGCTTGACAAAACGGGATACTCAAACGAACAGCGACAACAGCATTCAACATCCGCTGTTTGAAGTGCTTATGACTCAGGAAGCGAGGGTAAACAAAAAGCTGCTTGCCCAGTGCGGTTGAGCGGCACTGCACGATACCGCTTTTACCAAAGGTCGCATCAGCTTTCGAAGTATATGGGTTGCGTTCAAAATTCGCGTGTCTGCTCAATTACTTTAATTTACATTAATTGGTTTGGCCGGTCTATTTTCATGTCGTTGCTATAAGGCGGCACCGAGGGGGACCCCCTAAAACCCCAGCGTGGCACTAGGAAAACGCTAGGTTCGCGCTAGGTAAAATCAACAAACATTATTTCAAATTTCGCATGTCACCACTAAGCGAACCCAACAAAGATTGATTGAGAAGGCCCAGCCAGGCGCACCACCCGAAATATGCGTACAACATCCGGGGTGGTGTAATAACCCCGCGCCTCTTCGTTATGAATTGACGGGGCCGCTGTTGCCAGGATAGAGGTTCTTCTAGGAAAAGCGACGACAAGAAAGAAACGATATTCGTGTTATACTTGGTACATTTGCTGCTCCTGGCTTGTTTTAGTCGTTCATCACGTCGTAGTATCAGATCTTGGAAAATCCGGCACAGTGTTTTGCGCTAGCGCCGCGCTAGCACGGCGCTAGCAAATGTCAACGCAGCCTCCCCCGGCAGACCATGGTCCATTCCTCCTCTAGCAGACCACAAAGGAACACCATAGAACCGACAGTGCTATGCGTGTTGGAGCTCGAGCCCCGCAAGTGGCGACAGCGGAGAAACCTTCGCTCGCGCCGGAACTCCAGCAGTAGCAGTATGTAGCAGTAACACTAGCAGTTCTTGTGACGACTCGTCCGACAGCAGCGCCTGAAAAACTGCCGCTGGACCGAATCCTGGAGCCGGGCGTAACAGCGGCAACTAGCCGCCTGCCCATGAGGCCTTGAGACCACGAGTCGGCGTCGGAGAAAAGGAGCGTTTAAAAAAAAAAAGTCCGCGCTAGCACCTTTTCTAAGAAGTCATGCTTGGATCCTTCAAATGTCGCGTTTGCTACTCCATCTCAATCAGCTTCTTGTTCCTTCAGAACTTTTTTTTTCTTCGCGCCTTTTTCCAGCTGCCTGTGATGTCCGTGCCCTCAAGCTCCTACAGCCGCATCGGGCATCAGAACATAAGGCGGCACCGAGGGAGTCCCGATTTAACGTCAATTTCGGGAACAAGTATTTTGACAACAACCCATATCGAAGTACGCCCGGGGACATGACGATGCCATCTGGACACTTCTACGCTCTCAGGCGGGACCGCATGCCGGTGCATGGCTCACCGCCATACCGTGCGACGAGGCAAGCCGCATCCCGCCACAAGCGTTGCAAATTGCCCTGAGGCGTCACTTACGCCTGCCCCGGCTTTTTTGTCCCGGACGCTGCGGCCCCAACCCAGGATGTGGTGGCGCCATCGACCCTTATCGCGACCATGCCCTCGCTTGCCCGAGGACAGGCTTGTTGGCCAGGCGTGCTAAAATCGTCGAGCGCGCTTGGGTCCGCGGCCGTCGGAGCCGAAGGTCAGGTCGTGCCACAGCAGTGGCTCGCCCCGATGGCTGCTGAGTTCTCCTATTGTGGACTCGCTGCGTGATGCCGCCTTTCCTGCGCCATGGCTTCGTTATTATGGAAAAGGAGAGGGATAAAACAAAATTTTTCGACCGGAGGGCTGGCCAAGGGACGTGGCAGGGTGGGGTGGGGAAACTGTGGTGTCAGCGCGGACCAATATAAGCTATATTGACATGAAAGGGGCCGATACAGCCAAGCACAAGACCCCCGAGCTTCATGTCTTGCAGATGATATTCCTTGGTGCCGCATGGGCAGATTTTCTGATATTCGCAGGAACCAGGGCTCAACCCATCATTTCACATCAGGGCACACGTGTATGTGTATGCAACAAGTGGCAACAAGTCTCTTCCCCGAACGGCTTCTAGCACGTAGACTATGTAGACGTTTTGTTAGCGCAAGAAGGCAACACGAACCGTCAACCACCAATGATTTATTTGGCCAATACGGCGTATCAACCATGCCGGATGCGCAGGTCCGCGGCCCGCGTGCATTGCCCCCATGCTGTGTTGATTTATTTGTTTTCAGGTACTGGGATGTCTCACTTGATTTTTGCCGTTGCATGGTGCAAAGACGTGTAAGTTCTGCCAAGGTTCCCTATGTATTTCAGCATATTTCAGCCGCTGTACTTGCTTACGCGTCCAGGAGGACGACCCTGCAGCGAGGCAGCAGGGGCCCTCGGATGCAAATCTTCAGGACAAGGACACAGACACAGACAGAACAGACACAGAGAGACTGACACACAGAGACACAGAGAGACACACGGAGAGACACAGAGAGAGAGAGAGAGACACACACACACACACACACTCACGCACAGAGACACGCACACACACACGCACACACACACACGGAGAGCGAGAGACAGAGAGAGAGAGGGAGACACACACACACACACAGACACAGACACAGAGAGAGAGAGAGAGACACTGACAGAGAGAGAGAGAGAGAGAGAGACAGGGATAAACAGAGAGAGACACAGAGAGAGAGAGAGAGAGAGACTTAGAGAGACACGGACAGAGACACCGAGAGAGACACAGAGAGAGACACAGAGAGACACACGGCGAGAGACACAGAGAGAGACACAGATAGACACACAGAGAGAGACATAGAGAGACACACCGAGACATACAGAGACACACCACACACCACACACACACACACGCACACACACACACACACAATCAGACAGACAGACACAGACACTGACACACACACAGACACACACACAGACACACACACACACACACACAAACAGACACCCAGACATATATACATATATAAAATATAGATCTGTATATGTAAAGGTATACGTATAGGTATAGGTATAGGCATATGTATATGTATATGTATGTAACTGTAACATAGTAGACGACAATACGTACCGTATTAAATTCAAGTGTATATACACATGTTGTACACATGTTCCTTATGCCTATATATATACATCTATCTATCACTATGTACGTATGTGTGTGTGTGTGTGTGCGTGTGTTTGTGCATATGTACACGTAGTTCCACAAAGCGTCACATTGGGGAGGGCACGTGGCCGGCCGATCAAGTGGCAAAACTGTTGATTTATGAGGGTTGCTTCGGCAACAAGCCTGCAAGCCCATGCCCGTGATTTGTTTAACACTTATCAACGCTGAGAAAAACCAAGAACCTTGAACCATATAACCCTACGCTCCAAACACATGTCTTAAGGTTGTGGTGGCTATGCCAGCTCCGAGAGGCATGTGGTGTGGCAAATGTTTCTGAATGAGGTTTAGGGTTTTGGCAATCCTTTCTGACATGGAGCGGGGCCGTACATTTGGGGGTTGCTTTGTTGGGAACGGCGTTCATTGCAGACTTGTGCTTTTCTTGACCGTGTGCAAACCCTGTTCCGGGCAGCGTTTGCTTGGGGAGTCATGACACAGGGACAACTGAATGGCGATGGTCCACAAGGCATGCGTTACACAGAACAATACTTTGTTTGAACGAGTAGAAAGGTTCAGATATCCAAAGGTTGGCACGAGGAATAATCATGCGTAGCAAACAACCCCGCATTCAACGCGGAGGTTTTTTGTCGCGCATGCTTGGTGTTGAAATTGCAAAATACAAAGCAGCCGTTTTCCAGCAGCCGGACTTCGCGATTGAAGCAGGCAGCCTTCTTCATGGAATCACATCCTGACACCCACAAGGTCATGCTTCGTTAGCCAATACTTTGTGCCCAGAACAGCAATCAAGCATGGACGCAGCGACTGTCGCGCACGTGCTGGCCAAGAGCCTTCCGGAGTTCGCAGAGCCACCGGCAGAGGAACTGCAAGTGACTCCGAGTCACGACACAGAGTGGCATCAGGTGTACTTTGTTAGCAACGGACGCAGCAAAGTTGTGGTCAGTGTACCGTCATGGTCCGGTACGGAGCTCCTCAGCAAAACGCTTGCAGAAACAGCTTTGGCCGGCTTGGGTCCAAACCATATCGCCACTTTGAACCACGACGGTCATGTTCTTTTGGTGAACGAGTTCTTGGAAGATGGCACGTTGCAATCCGACGACTTGAACGCAGACATCCTGGAACAACTCGGGTCGTTGTACGCGCGGCTACACAAGGTCAACACGTCATGGTTCGAGCCTGTGCGTGAGAAACTAGTGCAAGAGGGGGTTTTCACCAGCAGTGAAAGTGACTGGGCATTTTGCCTGTGGGTGCTTCCGCGTTTCCTGCGCTATTCGGCAGGACTTGGCATTTTTTCTGCGTCCAATTAAAGCCACCTCACGATTACTAGCAATGTAGGCGGCTGGTATGTCGTAGCTCAAAGGCAAAAACTCAGTTTTTTTCCGGTGAGTGATCCTTTTAAGTCACGTAGTCCTAGTCTTGGGGGTTCTTAAGCAAATAGTAGCTCTAGCTGAGGGTTCAGAGGCGGGGCTTGCAGGAATCCTATGTGTTAGCCATGCAGCCCTAGCATCTACCGGACGACTCCTGACTTGCAAGCTTCAAGGCATGGTGCCTGAGTCGAACAAGCAAGAGTTGGCAGCGGAAGGCGGGCAGCATCCAAGGTTCAGGGTTTCAGGTTCAAGCAACCACAGGAGCCCTAAGCAAAAAAAGTTTACGGTTTGGGGTTTAGGGCTTGGGGTTTCATATGACAAAGGCAATATTACAGCCACGTCTTCGGCTCTAGGAAAACTAGCTGCCAACTGGGCCCAGGCGTGAACTGGGACTTTCTTGCTTCCGAACTCAAGTCTTTGCCTACGTGTCCGGAGCTCCCAAGTGGGGGATTGACATCCCGCAGCGTTCCTTGGTTTAGGGCTTAGGGTTTTGGGTTTTGGGAAAAAGGGTTTGTTGGCGCTTCAGGGAGCACGGCTTGTGTAGCTGCCTTGTGAGCTTGGTGTCGGCGCTGTACCCTAATTACCCTTAAACCCTAAACCCTAAACCCTATAGTCATCCTTGAATAGATAGAATATGGTTTTCGTTTTTTTGTTTGCTTTTTCCCACGTTTTTGAAGGAGCCCATCGATAGAATATTGAAACCCATAGATAGAATATCTCAAAGAGTATTTTCGGGACCCCGAAAAGACGCCCGTTTTCGGGCCCTCCTGCACACATATTCTATCTATGGGTTTCAAGATTCGTCAGGCGCCAGACCATAGTGACAGTTGCTGCACAACATCTGGGTTCTTGTGAAATTTCGATGCAAACCCTAAAGCCTAAACCCTGGACCCTAAACCCTAAACCCTAAACCCTCCACCCTCAACCCTCCACCCTCAACCCTAAACCCTCAACCCTAAACCCTAAACCCGAAACCCTAAACCCTAAACCCTAAACCCTAAACCCTAAACCCTAAACCCTAAACCCTAAACCCTAAACCCTAAACCCTAAACCCTAAACCCTAAGCATGACATACTCGGGGTCAAACTGAAACAACGGGTGAAGCGCAACCTGCCTGAGCACCCGAATGATGTGGAGAGGAAACCGTGGCCAGCCCAGCATGTAGCGTAGAACCCTCACGTCAACGCGCAGCGACCTCTCCAGGAAAATTTGAACAATGCCATTAATTAAGGGATCCAAGCTGGACTGAGATTTAGCAGCCGTATGGCCCCGACTGCCGGCCACACGATCAGATAGACACAGAGAGAGAGAGAGAGAGAGAGAGAGAGAGAGAGAGAGAGAGAGAGAGCGAGAGAGAGCCTTGGAGCCGGGGTTTCCCCTAGCCCCAAGAAGGACAGGTAGAGAGAGAGAGAGAGAGAGAGAGAAGTAAAGGACAGAACAGGGGACAAAGCCACGACCAGACTGCTGTGGCTCTTTGTCAGAGTGCTTTGTTTTTCCTAAGCCCTAAACCCTAAACCCTAAACCCTAAACCCTAATCCCTACCTAAACCCTAAACCCTAAACCCCAAACCCCAAACCCAGTTGGATCCCAGGTTGTGAACAAGCGGATAAGGTACTGAGCGAGCTGAAGGGATTTGGGGGATCTCCACAACATGCATGACCATATTCTTTTCATGGCCATTTACTTGAGTGCTTGATTTGCCTAAACCCTATACACCCTATAAACCCCTAAACCCTAAACCCTAAGCCCGATCTGTCTGAGGTTTGCGTTCATGGGGACGCTCATTTGGGCAACATCATGTGGCACCAGGGCAAGCTGCGATTGATAGACTTCGACATGACTTCACTCGGACCTGCGGGTGCCGACCTCGCATACATCGTCTTGATGCTGCAGCTTAGTTCAAGCATCATGTGTACCCTAGGCCCTAAAGCCCATAAAGCCTATAAATGCAGCAGAAGGTAGCGGCCCAAACTTGTAGGGTTTCTCCATGCCGGTGAATGTTCATACCTCAGGTTTCGCTGTGGCTTCAGTCCAGATGCAATCCTCGATGTTGACTCGCAGCGCCGGTTTGCTCGCTCCTACTTGGAAGAGTCGGGGTCGCCATCCACAGGCGAAGATATCGATGCTTTCTTGTTGGACATGCATTGCTGGGCATATGTTGGCCTGCTGCAGATGGGGCTGCTCTGTGCGGTTCTGATGCACAATGAGGGGAATCCAGCGAAACGAGCCCTCATGAAAGAAAGAGGGCCCGTGCTGCTGCATCCTGCATTTCTCTCTAAAGCCAAAGAAATCATGCGCTCAGCCGCAGCAGATAAAGGCGTGGCTGACCAATTGCTGTCCAAAGGTTTGTTTTTCGCTACCGAGTCAGTGTGGCGCTCATAAGAAGTGCCGGCTTGCACCATCTTTTGCTTTGTCCGTTTTGCCAGAAGGAGCAAGGAGCAGGACTCAGCCCAAACCCAGGGCATAGTTGTGGAAATTTGTAGATCTTTGGGATCTAGAAGTTGCGGTTTGGGCTAGGCGGGGTCAGTTTTGAAAAAGGTTGTATGCCTTGTCGATGGGCATTTTGGAAGTCCGGCAAAGCAGAACTGCTTAAGATGCCGGTGTTCAATGAAGAAAGCCTCAGCCCATCCAGCGGTTGGGAAGTGTTCTCCTAACTAGACACATAGATGCTGCCGTTCGCGGAACACTTGCAGGAGCCAGACAAGAAAGCTGCACCACTTCCTGCATCAAGACACGTCAAGGACAACCTTGGTCAACAGCTTCAATCGCTGCAGGGACCACTCTAGCACCCACTGCAGGCCCCGGCAAGGTACTCGCATGGATGCAACTGACGCAGTAGTAGCTGCGCATGCACCCGGAATTGCACGCGGCCTGCCCAACTGCAGGCTCACGTTTGGCTGGTTTAGGGTTTAGGGTTTATCCAGCCTGGGCTGAAGGGATTATCCAGCACAGCAACCCTAATCCCGACTCGAAGGTTCATGGTACTTGTAAGCAGGGTTAAGGGGTTTAGGGTTTAGGGTTTAGGGTCTAGCCCTTAAACGCAAAATTAAGGTGCAGACGACGTTTCGTTGCCCCAGGCGCTCGACTGGACCCTGTGGTGCAATGAAAGAAAACGTAGCGTTTCTTGAGCTTTCAAGCCTCATCCGTTCACCCTAAACCCCCAAGCCTCTGCATTCCGCAGCCCTTCTTCTACAAAGGCAAACTTGGAAGCCCTCCAACCCACAAGGCCTCAAACTTAGAATCCCCTAAAAGCCCCAACGCTGAACCTTAAACCCTAAACCCTAAACCCTAAACCCTAAACCCTAAACCCTAAACCCCCGGTAGGCGGTGGGCCTGAGCGGCCCGCCCCCGCCGGAGATCCTCCGGAGCCTCGCGCCGCCAGAGGAGGCATCGCGCACGCCAGCCAGGGGTTTAGGGTTTAGGGTTTAGGGTTTAGGGTTTAGGGTTTAGGGTTTAGGGCTTAGGGTTTAGGGTTTAGGGTTGAGGGTTTGTTTATGGACCTGAAACCCTCAACCCGACCCGAAAACCCTTCAACCCCAAACCCCAGACCCCAAACCCCCAACCCTAAACCCTAAACCCTAAACCCTAAACCCTAAACCCTAAACCCTAAACCCTAAACCCTAAACCCCAAACCCCAAACCCCAAACCCTAAACCCTAAACCCTAAACCCTAAACCCTACCCTAATTGGACCCTAGGTCCGCCAGCTTGAGGCCTGAGAAAAGCCCTAGCTCTATTGGGACGGCGTGAACTTCTTTCGTCGGTTCAACCCCCAAATTGCGATCCTGCCTGCAACGCCACAAGCCCGGAGACGAAGAAGAAAGCAGAAGACGAAGAAGAAGCAGGAAAAGAAGAAGAAGACGAAGAAGAAGAAGCAGAAAAAGAAGAAGAAGAAGAAGAAGAAGAAGAAGAAGAAGAAGAAGAAGAAGAATAAGAAGAAGAAGAAGAATAAGAAGAAGAAGAAGAAGAAGCAGCAGCAGCAGCAGAAGAAGAAGAAGAAGAATAAGAAGAAACAGAAGCAGAAGAACAAGACGCAGGAAGACACCCCACACACACCCTCCGCCCCCCACTGTCAACCCTACACCCTGCAGTGTCCCTTGGCCCCCACTATCAACCAAGCCCTGCAGCGTCCCTTGGAATCTCAGGTTGGAGCCATGGGCCCTGAAAATCGTCCCTTACCCGTGTTTAAAGTGATCCGAAGGTGTGGGTCCTTTTTTTAGGTATCGTGTACGGAAGGGTTCTATAACAGGGTTTAGGGTTTAGGGTTTAGGGTTTAAGGTTTAGGGTTTAGGGTTTAGGGTTAAGGGCCCCCTACTCCGGTTTCTTGTATGGAAGGAGGAGGACGAGGAGGATGAGAGCCGCAGTGGCGAGGCGGCTGCCGAGTCGCTGAGGTGCCGGGGGGGGGGGGGGGGGGGTTGTGTAGGGTTTAGGGTTTAGGGTTTGGGGTTTAGGGTTTCGGGTTAGGGTTTAGGGCGAGAGGGGGGAGGGGGGAGGGGGTACCACAAAAGCCCTATAAGCCCTAAACCCTAAGAGGCTTGAGCGTCTTAGGCCCTCAAGCCCGATCATGGGATGAGGGTTGGGTCGACGGCTCCGGCTGTCGCAGAATGCCAAACAGCAACAAACTCACAAACCTGCGTTCGTGTAGGGATTGAGGGTTTGGGGTTTAGGGTTTCGGGCACGCCCCCCCCCCCCCCCCCGGTCCGGCTGCAAGGGTTTAGGGCTTACGGTTTAGGGTGACGAGGAGCATGGAAGAAAACTTCGAAGCTCAATCCTCGCGACTCGCGGCTGTGGCGCCAGAAAGGGCGCACTGCATCGAGAGCTCCACGGCTCGCCTGCTTAAATTGACCCCGCTGGAAGACGTTAGGTTTAGGGTTTAGGGTGTGAATCGGCATGCTTTGTATGCCTACCGCAGCACCTCTCGCAGGGAGTTTCCTTAAGGGTTAGGCCCAGTCCCCCTAGCAATGTTCACCTAAGGTTGGCCACAGTAGGAACCTGTACAGTTTTTAGCGAACTCTTAAATTGTAGTCACAGTTTAGATTACTTTCATAGACTGTTTCTTTGCTGTGACCTTCATTGCTCCCGATGGAAAAGAGGTCCAATCTGAGCCATGGCTTCCATAGGTCATGAGCCCAAATTATGCTCAGCTGCGTATGGTCGCAGGGACAGTATCCTGGAGGAACGGAGGACAGGCCCGACAACTGACGTGGAGGCAGCGGTGCAGGAAAGAAGAGCCAACCATGAAACGATGGGTGGGCTGATAGCTGGCCGCAGTTGCTGTATATGTTTTTCTGTTGACAGGGCGGAGCCAAGATGGTCCTTCAGCGATGATCCAGGAGATGTTTATCAGGAGCTTCGGAAATATGTCGTCGATCACCGTGGTGAAAAGCCTTTCTCTTCTGTCGTGGATGCGATGGAAGAATATGGCGTTTTACTGGATGCGGTCAACAGCTACAGTAGAGCGACGTCATCTTCTGTTGCCAAGGATGAGATAGGAGAACATGGTGGTCTACGTGAATTCGAGACTGGGAGGCGACATGACGTGTCGATGAGCATGATGCCATGTGGTCAACAAAGTGTTGCCGAAAGGCATGAAAAAAACGTCACTTTGGAGGACAGAGAACGTGGCAAGAGCACCATGGAGGCGTCCAGAACCTTTGAATATGGCAGCTGGGAGAAGCAAACGCCTGAGAACGCTGCTATGGGAGCGGGTCTGGATACTGGTTTGGTGGAAAGCAGTGGTAGAGAAGAACAGGCGTCAATGCCTCTGACTGCTGGATCCTCAAGGGATCAGACGCATGATGGGGTTGAGGCCTTTCGTCTTGACCCACTCATGCGTCTGATCGAGGGAATGGAGGTTGCGCAGGAACCATGGCGTAGCGAACGTGTAGTTTCAGGTAGTTCTGGACGAAAATCGTCCAAGTACCAAGTTGACTTTTGTACAGTCCCGGTGCCAGGTAATAGAGTAGTCGACTTTGAGGCCACCTTGGGTGATTATAAGGGTTCCCTAGGTTCCGTCATCCCTGAGGAGGTTCTTGAGGCGCTGCCATCTGGACATCCGTGGCATGCTAGCCAACGCGTTCCTGACATGAGCCCTTCAAACCCGGCCGGCAAAGTAGGGGTTAGTCCCCAGACCCCTAGGTGGGAAACCTCAACAGTGCTGCTCCCGCAAGCCAGTGGGGAATATAACCACTCAGCAGTCTCCTCTTGTGAAACCCGCCTTAAGACTGCTTGTCAGGACGATTCGTTACCTCCTGGGGAGGAAGCGGTCGTTCCCGTGCATCAAGAGGTGGGAGGTCCCGCCGCTGCATTGTGTCATCAAGCTGTGAAAGGCATAAGTGGCAGAGCAGAATGGTCAGGCTACGATGGCCACGTAGACCTAACCCATGCCCCCACTGAGCTTAAGCAGCATTCCGGTGATGTCTGTGAGCCTCATTATCCCGGGGAGCAGAATGAATCCTCAGGGGGGAGCTCAAAGCCTCCGATACCGTCCCCGCTGGACGCTGGAGTTAACTGTGTGCCTCATCATGATCCCGAGGAACTGAGTGAGTCCTCTGGGGATAGGCACGTGTGTCCTCAAGCAACTGGTGTGCCTCATCAAGGTCCCAAGGAACTGCGTGAGTCCATGGGGGATAGGCATGTGTGTGGCAGGCAAGAGTGGTCGGTTCTCTGTCCGCGTGAAGCCACTAATGAATTGCCTCGCCTTGCAAAGTTGGTTTCCGTTGAAATAGGCGAAAAAAGGTCTGTGAGGGAGCGCGCCCCTCCATGCACCTTGCCTGTGACTTCAACTGGAGGTTTAGAAGACGGGCTGGAAAGGGCTCTGCAATCACTTCAGGAAGAGAACCTTGACTTCGAGATGGGGTCTGAGGCAAGCCCTGGAAGCGTTAAGCAGAGCCGCATTACCTCGTCGGGGTCCTATGGTTCAGGCCCTAACTCAAACCCAGGCCAATCAGTGCCTGAGTCAAATGTGTCCTCCACCAAATGTCAGATCTCGAGTGAAACAAAGAGAGATGATAAAGGTGGTCTCGAGAGATCGTCGCCGCAACAGGTTTTGCAACACACTAAGGAAGAGAGTCGCGACTCTTCAGGTGTCCGGGAACTTAAGCGGTCGGTCAGGTTTGATGTTGGTGTGCATAAGTCAGAGAGTTGCAAATGGAGGCGCTGTAATGGGGGTGTGAGGTCTGATGAGCCTGAAAAGGTTCATTTGACGTCAATCGTGAAACATTGTGCCTTTTCACAGCGCATGTCGACTGCGGAATCTCATTTTGATTTGGGCGATGAGGTCTTTACTTGCGCTTGGAATCCTTTCCGAAAACTGTTGCGAAGAAGATGCGGAGCGTGCGCACATCGTTGCAGCGAACATTGCGCAGCAGTTGCAGAAGCGCACAATTGTGCACCATCGTGGTGATCTGCAGCGCGCAAAATGCCACAATTGCCCACAAATGCCGTCATTTGCGTGCGTTCTGCATTTGTGCATGTTTGCTCGCCGTGCCACGCGCAAGTGCGCATTGTAATTTCAGGAAGCATGACAACAGCTGCAAGCAGCAGCTGCAGACCTGGAGTTAGAGTAGCCTTCATGCTCATGGGTTCAGCAGCAGCTTTTGGGGAGCAAGCGCCCATAAGCCCCCATGTAAGGGGCCCCATTTGCGACACTCCAAATAAGGCAGAAAATGCCATAAGCATCCAAAATGTTGTAGAAGAAAAAGTGCCAAAGCCTGTGCTGGTCGCCGCGGAGCAATATGTGACCCGCAGGACTTTGTTTCCTCCCTTGCCAATCCGGTCACCTACCCCAGTGACGTTGATCGGGGATCTCTCAAAGGTGACTCCATCATGGGTCAAGGCTGTGCAGACCACGCAGGAGTCAGCACAACCAAACACCGGTGATCCGGTGTCCTTGTGCAAGCCTAGTGAGGGGGTGATAAGCCCTAAGAACGCTCAGCCGAGCTACTCCAACCCCGTAGGATCTTTCGGTTTAAGTCCTGCTTCGGAGATAAGCCCTAAGAGCGCTCAGCAGAGCCACCTCAACCCCATAGGATCTTTCGGTGTAAGTCCGGTGTCTGAGATAAGCCTTAAGAGTGCTCAGCCGAGCCACCTGAACCCTAGCGGTTCTTTCGGTTTAGATGCACATACCCTTCCTGTTCCTAATGCCACATCCTCTCCTAGAATGACAGGCAGCGTCGTGCGATCCCAAGTGCCTGTACCGGGATGGATTTGGCGACTGACAGAGGATGAGCTAGGAGGTCAAGCAAGTACGGGGCTCTCCCTCATTCCTGCCTCTAGGGAAACAGGTGCGGATAATGCACATGTGTGGGAATCCAAGCATGGCGTCGTGGATTCCAGGTCTGCGCTGTTGCAAAGGGATGAATGTAACCTGACCAATGCCGGGCAGTATAATGAGCCCTTGGGTTTTTGTCCCAATCTCTTCAAGGTAGACGGTGAGACTAAAATGGCAGGGACTACTCAGCATAACAGTCCTACTGAGTACTACCAGATCTACTCGGATGAAGAGAGTGATGGCAGTGACCAGCAACAGAGCGCTTATGACCACCCATGGGAACTCAATGACCTTGGCTGTGTGCACTTGTCCGTGTCCTCCAAGACACTATGGCCGCCGTTGCCCGTTGTACAAGGTGTGCCATTGATGCTGATGTCACGTGGAAGAACAGGGAGCCTGCAAGCGCGTTGTTGGTCCTTGGGTCGGTCATTTGCCGAAATGCCTATTGGCATGTCCATGTCAAGTTGTCTTCCGACCTTGCCCAGCGGGCCCGCGCCGCAACGTCTCTTGTCGGCACCGTCTCGACCCAATATGAACGTTTTCCTGCCGATAGCCCTGCGTTCTGGGTATCAAGTTTGCAACGTGCCCGGACAGGTTGGTGCACGTTGGGGGGAGTCCCTATACCCAGAACAAAACAAAAAACAAAAAATCGCAGTTTCTGGGGAAAGGGAACAGAACCCCGATACCAATCTGAAGGGTGACAGTGTGGTGGTTCCAGGCGTCCAGAAAGCTCAGGCCGGTTTAAGGCAGGGAAACGTGGATCTAGGTGTAAAGGGCAGCCAAAGATTGACAGACCCTGAGGTTGCCTCAGAGATCCCAAGTCCTCAGCCAAAAGAGCAGGTGCAAGACGAGACATCAGCTTCTTTCGTTGGTTCAAAGCCCGCCTGGAGTAGTGGTGTTTCCTGTGGTGCGTCAGCACCAATGGCAGACGTGAAAACAGACGGACAATGCCCAGGTGCCCAAGCAGGTAAAGAGGGAATGAATCAGTCTGTGTGCCTACCACCGGGCAACCAAGACAATGAGATCCAGGGAGGTCAAATCAAGGACATCCGTCCCGAGGCCCGTGACCGCTGTGTGCAAAGTCGGACGCATGTGCGCAGTGATGTTTGTGTTCGAAAAGGTGCCTATAAGATCAGGGCTGGGGCTGCGTGTTTCAGGCCAGGTCAAAAGGGTGCTGTGTGCCAAGCCACGGGAATTTATCCCGAGGCACAAGACAGCGGTGTGCAAAGTCGGATGCATGCACATCGTGCGATTGGTGCCACTACAGGTGCCACATGCCAGTTAGGTGCCTATGAGGTGCAGGCAGGTCTGCTGTGTTCAAGGCCTGAGCAAGGGGGGGCCGCAACTTTGCCAGGTGCCCATAAGGTTCAGACAGGTTCTTTGCGTTCCGTGCTGGATCAAGCAGGTACCGCACCTCACTTATGTGCAAATGAGAGCCAGGCAGGGTCTTTAAGTCCCTTGCCGAATCAAGCAGGTCTCGCACCTTGCCCACAGACAGGTTCCCTGGACGCTGTGTCCAATCAACCATGTGGCCTGATCCAGACCCAGGTAGGTGCAGATAAGGTGCAGGTAAGCTCTTTGAGTACTGTGCCAGGTCAATTAGGTGCCCATCAGGTTCAGGCAGGTCCTTCGTGTCCCGTGCCTGACCCAGCAGGCACCACGTGTCAACCAAGTGCCCATCAGGTTCAGGCAGGTCCTTCGTGTCCCGTGCCTGACCCAGCAGGCACCACGTGTCAACCAAGTGCCCATCAGGTTCAGGCAGGTCCTTCGTGTCCCGTGCCTGACCCAGCAGGCACCACGTGTCAACCAAGTGCCCATCAGGTTCAGGCAGGTCCTTCGTGTCCCGTGCCTGACCCAGCAGGCACCACGTGTCAGCCAAGTGCCCATCAGGTTCAGGCAGGTCCTTCGTGTCCCGTGCCTGACCTAGCAGGCATCACGTGTCAACCAAGTGCCCATCAGGTTCAGACAGGCCCTTCGTGTTCCGTGCCTGACCCAGCAGATACCATGTGTCAGACAGCGGTCCAACAGACCCAGAAAGGTCCTTCATGCCCCAGGATGAATCAGTCAGGTGCCACAGCTTGCCTAGGTGCCGATGAAGTTCAGGCAGGTCTCTTACGTTCCCTGCCAGGTCAAACCGGCGTAGCAGGCCCAAAAGGTACCAACAAGATTCAAGCAGGTTCTGTGCATCCCATGCCAGTTCCTTTGTGGACCGTCAATGAGACAGGTGGTGTGATGAGAGTGGATCCACTAAAAGATAATGCGGGTTCACCAAGAAGCAATTTAAATGCCTTGCTTGGATGTGGCAAGATATGCCAGTCGGTGGTGTCCATGCTGGGGGGAGCACAACCTTGGGTGCAGGACTGCGCACTAGCATCCATCGTTACCCTTTTTAGGATATCTAAGGGTGTACAAGAGTGCAAGAAAATAAACTGTGCCCGGCCCCCAAGAAGATCAGGGAATACCGCAGAATGGCTTTCTCAGGATGTGAATACGCTAGTTGCAGAGATGAGGAGTAAAGAGCCTGATTCTAATTTGGGTTCTACGGACACGGCTGCAATGCCGGAGCTAGTCGAACCGGAAGCGGTTTTAAGTCCAGCTGCGGTAGGCTTGCATAGCCACGAGTCTGGACCAGTCCCCGTGAGCTTTACCCCGCTGATTCCGCATGATCACCCACTCAAGCTGGCGATAATGATCACGGCGGCATCCACCCTTGAAAATGTGTGTGTTTTGCGACTGAGGCTGGTTCAGACAGGTTTGCCTGAGTATATTTGGCAAAAATACTCGGGAGGACACTTTAAGATCCAGCACAACCAATTCCACAAACAAGCAGAGGTTGGTGTGGGTAACTGGGTTTTGTCACAAGCAGCAGCCCAGTTGCAGCCACGCATAGTGTCCGTGTACCAGGACACGGAACAGCTCGGAGCATTCATGGAAGCAGTGATCGTGGACTTGCGTGACGACGGGAAGTATCCTGAGCCAGGAAAAGAGGTGATTCGTGAAAACCTCTTCAAAATGTTGAAGCACATTCACCGCATGAATACGATCGCAAGTCAAGTGAGATCACTGTACGGTTGCTTTGACTGGAAATTACGTGGTGAGGAATATGATTACACGTTAAGTAGTCTGCTCCCGCCCAGAAGCTTCTTTGAGGCACCTGAGAGCAACAAACCTGAAGATAAGGATAGATGGTTGTTGCTAGAGGATGGTGTGCCATTCGTGCAGGCACAGCCAGTGCCAACCGATCAGCTTCAACCTGTGATGCAAGAGCCGTCCGAGCAGGCTGTGTCGCCAGCCCAAGTGGCGTCTCCACCAGGTGAGGCACCGGGCGTGTTCGTGACTTCTGATGAACTGCCGCACGAAAAGGCTCGTGAAAGGCCCTTCAATGATCTTCGATTGAGGGCCTGGAGTTGCCTCTTTAACAGTAAGAGTTTTGAGCAAGCAGTGGGACAGCAAGCACTGCTTAGCTGCTGCACGTACTTTGGTTCTGTCCATAGCACGCAGCAGCCTCCGACCTCTGTACCCGATCCTTCCAAGGGTCCAGGTTCGGCGCCTGAACCCAGCTCTACAGAAGAGCAGAACACAGTTCGTGCCGGATGGGGTATTTGCCCACATTACCGAAAGGGATATTGCAGGTATGGCAATGCCTGCCGCTATGAGCATGTCCCTCGCACAGCAAGCAAACCCTTTACCCCAGTGCAGGACCAGGAAACAAGGCGCCACCATGACAGTCAGTTGAAGACCCATGGCGTCGTACCCACAAGCTGGGGAGTGTGCCCACACCTAAAAAGGGGCTTCTGCAGGTATGGTAAGGACTGTAGATATGAACATGACATCGAGACGTCCGACGGACATAAACCTGTGGATGATTCCGTAGAAGATAAGGGGGTTGCTACAAATAGCTGGGGCGTGTGTCCACACTTCCAAAAGGGATTTTGTAAATACAGCAACCAATGCAGGTGTCAGCATGTTCCAGCGGAAAGGGGAAATGAACATGTCTCCAGCTGTGAGAAATCGGAAAAGGTTGGGGTAAAGAAGGTGCAGGTATGCCCTCACTATACGCGAGGCTATTGTAAAAGAGGAAGCCAATGTGGTTTCATTCATGAGGCGCAGCCTTCATCCGAGGAGCATACTGTCCAGGCCGCACGCGCTAAGCGGTCCCTTCACAAGCCCTTATCTCTCGCCGCCAGGCAGAGGTTGTATGATGTTGGCTTGCTGGATGTATGTTTTGAGTCAGTCATGGGTACATGCAGTCACTCAGTGTGCAAATATTCGCATCGTGCTTTGAAGCCTTGGGAAATCCGCTTCCTGAAGAACCTATTGGATGAGCCGGTGGACGTCCCGAGTCCATCTGGTCAGCAAAGCACAAGCCCCAACCCGTTGGCGTGGCAGACTGTGAAACCTCAGGTAGACAACCTTGCCACGATCATTCAGCAACAAGCAGAAGAGGTTGTTCCACCGAAGGTAAGGCTTGAAGCGTCACGCCCCGACCCCTCGTTCCGCAGAGGAAGGAAGCTGCAGATCCTTGGATCGACTATCCTTAGGCGTAAGTTGGGTGATTATGGGACCGGGCGAACAAGGAAGTTGTCGTTCTTTGGACGCCCAGCCCTGTGTCTATGCCCGATCCGGAAATGGATCCTTGTCGAGCAAAACTGAGACGTGGTGTAAAGCACGTCGGCTCCCTTGCCAAGGTGGCCTGAAGGTCACATTATCAGGTTCAAGATTTCCCCTGTCTTCTTATGTTGCCAACCCCCCAGGAACAAAGGTTAAGGTTGCTGTGCCCACAACCGCCCCATCAGAAGGTGGTTCTCAGACACAGTGGCCCAGAATGCACCAGTCGGTGTTTCAACGCCTGCAGTGGGCTGATGTTGCGGATACTTCCGATGAGGAGTTAGATGGGCCTGCGGACCAGAGTTCGATTAGCGTTCAACCACTAAATGCCGGGGACGACAAGAAGGTTGTAGATAGGTCCACCAGGAGAAAATTGAAGAAGTTAAAAAATGATGCCTTTTGGAAACTGCGCCGGACTAAGCCGTTGTCGGTTGAAGGCCGGGTAGAGGCACCAAGGCTGAGGGATAATACTGTGACTTCACGCAATGTGTTGGTAGACCCTCAATCCGCACAAGTGCCCAGGTGTGTCTTGGACTCTTTATGGTCCAAACTTGCAAGTCGGGAAGTCCTGACACCAGCTCCGGGCACAGGTCAACCTGACGATGTGCCAATGGACAATTCGAATGCTGTGGTGTGTGGGACAGCGTGGTCCAATCAGAGTCTGCCAAGCCTAACTGCCAACAGGTTCACTGGTTGTTTCCATCCGGGGGAGCCAGGTCCGATTCATGGTGGGCTTTCGGACAGCATTGCTGAGGACAGGACCAGCTGTCAAATTAACCTGAATCCACAGCCGACCCATCCTTCACAAGCGCCCAGGTTTGTTCTGAACTCTTTGTGGTCGAAGCTTGCGCGTGAGGGCACAACCGCGTTGGTCCAAAGCGCCTGCAAATCTGAGTGTCCTCAAACGGGGGAGCAAGATCCTGTTTGCCGTGGATCTACAGACAGTGTTGCTGAGGATAAGACCGCGCTTCAGGTTAATCCAAATTCACTGCTGACCCATTCCTCACGAGTACCCAGGTTAGTCCTGAATTCGTTGTGGTCTAAGCTTGCGCCCGCAGGAAGATCTGCGTCAACCTTAAGCGCTAGCAGACCCGGTTGTCCTCAAACGGGGGAGCATGATCTTGCCCGATCTGAAGCTGCAATTTGCCCTCCTGATTCCCTGTCTTTTCACCAAAGGTCCGTCGTTGTCTCCGAATCTAGAGTCGTCTTGGATTCAGTATGGAGCCGTCATGCGTCCCAGGGTACAGCTAAATGTGCCCCAAGTGCGTGTCAACGTGGACGTTCTCCTCCGAAGAAGCCAAATCTTGTTTCCGGTGCGATGGAAGACCCTTCTGATGCGTCGAGGTCCTCTTGTCAGGGCTCGCTTGCCGTGCCTTTTACGTGCTACAGGGATGATGTAGGTGCAAGCAATGAGCATTGCTTGGGGGGAGACCACCTCACAGAAAAAATGAAAAAGCGCACCTCAAGCCAAAACCCAGCACAGAAAGTGTCGCTAAATCCAAGTGACAAAAGGGATAAGACCCTTGCCGGGACCCTTGTTGAAGCTTTGGACCTAAGTGAGCCAATTCATGGGCTAAAGGTCCCAAAGAAAATCCAGGTAAAAATGGACTTCGATAAGACAATGGGTTTCCCCGGGGAGGGCCCCCCGAAGAAATCAAGCACTGATCAGGGAGAAGGCTGGGGTGCATGCCCACACTTCCAGAGGGGCTTTTGTAAGTTTGGGAAAGATTGCAGGTGCGTAGGGAGAACACACCGGCCCGTACCCCCCAGGGCTCAGACACAGCTCTGAGCTCTTGCCCGCACTTTCGAAAGGGATTCTGCAAGTACGGTGACCAATGCCGGTATGAGCATTCCCCTAAGGCACGATCTTCTTCAGCATCTGCCAAAAGAGCAGCTAGTGAATCATACGAAACACGTGATCAGCAAAAAAGGGCTGCAATTCAGGCTGCTAAGGAGTTCGTAAGGGCGAGACGGGCCAAAGAAAAAAGTGCGATGGATGGACATATGGGGAAGGCTTTGGGAACTTCACCAGCCGCCGCCAGGTCAAGGAGCCCACTCCGTAAACCTCCTCCACCACCCAAGAGCAACAGGGTTGAGAGTTCCGGCCAGAGATCCACACCACCGCCACCTCCTAGAGCAAGGTCTAGATCGGTTGTAAGTGGCCCAGAGGGTAGTGGGATTAATAAGCCTAAGCTAAGCCATGGACCTCAACCCCCGCCTACGCACGGAAAAGGACAGTCTGCCGGAAGCGGTGGAATTGTCAAGCCAAAGTTTGAGGTCAAGATCAGTCAGTCCGTGTCGAAAGTACCGCCTCAGATTGTTCAGCCTAAGATCAATCTGGAGTTCAATTACAGCGTGGCACGGAAGGGCATGAGCTTAAAGAGAGGGTCCGTAGACCTTCCGAGCGTCTTGCCAGATCAGCCGCTGAACATTTCCGGCAAATTGGTGAGACAAAGACCTGGTCATCACCATGGTGAGGGTGAAACAACGGTACTGCCCTCGAGGGAATCTTTAGCCTCTATGCCTGTCAAAGTAGAGGATCCTCCTTCAACAAGCTCCGTGCCAGAGGCATCGTCCTCTCATGCGTCCAATCTCGGAGTTTCCTCTGACCCAGTCAATGGGCAAGAGAGAGCAGACGGAGGAAGTGGCGCTTCAGACAGACCGTGGATGTCCCATGAAGAGGTCCAAGATCTGGAGCATGAAAGACTGAAAAAAGAAGAGCAGCAGCAGGAGGAAGATCTGCAGGTTCTTTCTGAGGCAAGAGTGGTTCCTAAGGTGGTGGCCGCTGAGGGTATCAGTAAGCCCGAGGCTTTAAATCTTGGGGTTGAGCCAAGTAATGTAAGACCCGCAGCACTCAGTGTCAACTCAGAAAGCCGCCCAGAGCCCTCGGATTCCTACCACCATCAAGAGCAGGCGTCAGCTGCAGTCAGTCCTGCGGTGAGTGCAAATACAGCAGAAGCATCAAGGCCAATCCAAAGGGAGGGTTATAGGGCAAGGCTAAAGCTGAGTGAAGACCCAGACGACGCAGCGTATAGGATAATCACTATACAAGGGGAAAGGGAGACACCAATAAGGGTCCACTGCACTCGACGCATTCTGGAATGCGTGCTGTTAGTTTGGAGGAGTGGTTTCCGGCTTGCCAGATTGATGAGACATTTGCCAAGCCCCGAGAACCGCCTCATATCCTTCCCTCCTGTGATGAAGGAACAACTGAGCCATGTTATCCCTGGGTCCGAGCTTGAAATTGTGTTTGAGCCAGATCCGGAAGGCTGTCAGGTCGAGGTCGATCACTCTCTGCTGAAGCGTCTGTTAGAAAGGTCGCAGTACACGGAGCGTTCGTGCCAGTACTGTGATCCAACAAGACCAATGAAGCTTTTTCAAGAAAAGAGGCCCAGCGGCCGAGGTCTGGTCCTAACGCCGGACCTTCGCCTTCGGAGTTTTGCGACTGGGGTGCCGGGCAAGGATGTGCTACAAGAGCTCCACCAAGAAGGTTATCATCTTCGTGGTCTTTGCCAGACCAAAGACCATTGGATGACCGTTCCGCTGGAGCTGAGAATTCAGCCAAGAGGATTCCTTTTGGTCTGGCCGGTGCCAATCCAGGACTGACGCAAGCCCTTCCCCTGTAAGCCTGTCAGGCATAAAGGGATAAGTCCTTACGTCCATCAGGACTGTTTGAATCCTTGCAATCTAATTTCATGCATGGAGGATACCGCCATTCATTCCGACTGCCATACCGGTGGTAAAAAGGAGGACTCCACAAGGCATTCTGACTGCCATACCTGTGGAGAAGTCAACCATGTTGTCGGGTATTCTGCCTACCCGTATCAGCATCACATGTTTTTCTTCTGTGTTTCCCTATAAGCCCAAGGGCATAAAGGGACTGATGGATGAGTTTTTCTCTGTCGCCAGCAGAGTTATTCGTGTCACTTTCGTGTACTCACTTTCGGCATATTGGTTGCCTCCATGAGGGAGATACGCAGGCCACCCCAGGCTGTCGAACTCAAAAGGCAAGCAAAAGCCCCAAAGCCATTTGTAAAAGCGATGGGATCTGT